GCGGTGGGTTCACGTGATGGTCGTAGTAGTTTGCACACTTGCTTGCAGGTTTAAGCTACGCCTAGCGCCCATTAACTGGCACCCAACTCTCATATGTGGTTCCCAGAAGCTAGGCTCTGCCTAGCAGCCACACTTTGGCAACCGCCCCGACCGGCTGACTAAACTTCGTGATGGTCTCCGTGTGTGCACCTCCGCACACGGTAACTCGGCTCCGCTGGTCGGAGGGATCACCGCCTCGGTACCTCTGAGAAGAGACTCCATTCGCAACACCGCAGGAGGCTACGAGGTAAGTGAGTCCGGAGGCAAGTAAACATTTCTCTGTCGTCTTTACTTTGCTTGTTATTGCTTGCTCGATTCTGTCTACTTATTTTTGCTTGTCCTTATTGTAAGCAAAGTGTCGTTCCGTTAAATTTCGTCAGTCCTCTTCTGCATCTGCCTGTTCTTGCTTGCCTGCCTGCCGTTCGTCTGCTTGTTTTTGTTTGCATTTGCTGTACGCTAACTGCCGTTTTTTAAGTCTTTTTGCTCATCGCTTTTATATTTTAGCAACCAGTTTGCTTCGAGAGAGACGGGAAAGCTCTGATTCCCTGATCGCCTACCTCTCCAGGGAGGCACATTTCCAATCATCCTTAGCGTCTATGTTCCCCCAATGACCAGCCCCGACGAGACGAGGAACAAATTCTACGAGGGTCTGCGCGCCCTCCTGGCGACTGTGCCGAAGGCGGATAAGTTGCTTGTCCTTGGTGACCTTAACGTCCGCGTTAGCACAGGTTATGGTACCTGGAAAGGAGCGCTGGGTCCCCATGGCCTCCTCGACTCCAGTGACAAACGCCTGCTCCTTCTACGAACCTGCACAGAACACCGCCTTATCCTGACCAACACCTACTTCCGCCTTCCGACGCAGGAAAAGGCCACTTGGATGCACCCTCGGTCGCGACTCTGGCACCTGCTGAACTATGTCCTCGTCCGGATGCGAAACCAGCGGGACGTTCTGGTGACAAAGGCGGTCCCAGGTGTCAATGTGCGGACCGACCGTCGCCTCGTCATCTCAATGATGAGGATTTGCCTACATCCTCGCAAGAAACCTCAAGGTAAGCGACCACCAGGTAAGCTGAATATTGCTTTGTTGTCTTTGCTTGCTAACTATCTCCATTTCAACAATGAACTAACTCAAAGGCTGTTCAACCTTCCAGTCGCCGCCGCTGCCACCGCCGACGAGTAAACCTCCGTGGAGAATCGATGGTGTCAACTACGGGACACAGTCCAGTCGACGGCCCTGGCTGTCTTCGGTCACGCACGACGCCAACACCAAGACTGGCTCGATGAAAACGACGCCGCAATCAACAACCTGCACGCCGATAATAACCGCCTGCACAAAGCCTACGTCACCCGCCCCACTGACTACAATAAAACAGCATTCTACCGAAGTCGTCGCCTTGCGAAACAGCAGTTGCGAGAGACGCAGGACGCTTGGAGGGCTAGCAAGGCTGAGGAGACCCAAGGTTACGCAGGTAGCAACGAATGAAAGAACTTCTCCGCGATTAAAGCTGTCTACAGTCCGCCAACCAAAGGATATGCACATCTTCTCAGCGCTGCCTGAAGTACCCTACTCACTGAGAAAACACAAATTCTACAGTGATGGGCTGAGCACTTCAGAGGCGTCCTCAACCGCCCCATCAGTATCTCTGACGCCGCCGTCGTCCGTCTGCCGCAAGTGGAGGCCAACGCCAACCTCGACCTCCCGCCCTTTCTCCTCGAAACTATCAGGACCGTGCAGGAGCTCTCCAGCGCGAAAGCGTCCGGATCGGACGAGATCCCAAGTAAAAACTACAAGCACGGTGCCCCCAACTCATGGATCATCTGACGGCACTCTTCCAGGAGATGTGGCGTCAGAGAAATCCATCAGGGTCCTAAGGCCGCTAAAATTGTTCGTCTAGACAGGTGTAAAGGAAATCGCCAAATCTGCGACAACCACCGAGGCATTTCCATGCCAAACATCGCTAGGAAGATATTCGCTCGCATTCTCCTCAACCGCCTGAACCACCATCTGGAACAAGGTCTCCTGCTGGAAAGTCAGTGCGGCTTCCGCCGTCATCGTGGGACAACCGACATGATCTTCGGCGCCCGTCAACTGCAGGAGAAGTGTCAGGCGATGCGGACCTACCTCTACTCTATCTTCATGGATCTGACGCGGTGAGTCGCGAAGGACATAGAAAGGAACATGGACCTATTCGCTGCCGCCTGCGACAACTTCGACCTTTTCGTCAACACGGATAAAACAGTGGTTATGCATCAACCGCCACTCGACGCTGCCTACGTCGGTGCGCAGTCCAACAGCAAGTCGTAGACGACTTCACCTGCCTGGGCAGCACCCTCTCCCGCACCACCAATATCGACGATGAAGTGGCCCACCGGATCTCCAAAGTCAGCCCAGACTTCGGCCGTCTGCAAAACACTGAAGTGTGAGGCGTGCTAATCTCATCTGCACCCACCTCGCAACGCCAACGCTCAATCATCCCGACCTGCCCATGCTGCCCGCGGACGTTCTGGTCACAAATCGGCCTTGTAGGCCTCATGTAGCGCCCGAACTACACGAGCTGCTGTCTCCTCGTTCAAATCTTCCTGATTCTCCACGCCAACAGTTAACACTGGTCGCACTCCCGAAGCCCCGCTACCGTCCTCCTCCTCCTCCCTTGCTCCAACATCCGCTACGGCGTCTCCTGTATCCACCATCACTGCACACAATTCTAACCCACCAACAAACATCAACCCCCATATCAACAATCCCAGCGATGTGGACTCGATCCATACTTGTCCTCATCGCGACCGCACGTTCAGTTAACACATCGGCCTGATCAGTCACATGCGAATCCATCGCACAGAGACTGGGGAACCAGTGCCTGGAGTACCAGCCTACACTCTTCGAATTAGCCTCCACTGTCCACGTTGCTCCACACATTCACTCACCGCACGGGTCTATTCGGTCGCATTTGTATCCACGAGAGCAGTATTGGCCGCAGTCTCGACACACCTAGCACCTCCTGCACATCCACCGTGCCTTGCTCAACCCACACTCCGTCGCCCAGCGCGTCCACCACCACCAGCTCCACCTCTGCCAGCATCTCCGAGACCAAAACTGATACCGCCGACTTTTCCTGTCCACACTGTCTCCGTACATTCACCTCATACATCGGTCTCTTGGGTCACTTGCGAATCCGACTGGCGAACCAGTGCCTGAAGCACCCACATACACCAGACTCATCTGACTCAACTGCCCACCTTACACCCGCACATCCAGCTACCACATGGGTCTATTATGCCACGTGCGCATTCATAAAATCCTGCGGTAGACAACCGCCGGTTAACCCACACCATCACATCTTCCTACACCTACATCAAGCGACATCATTCACCACAGGCATCGAATTGCCATATCCCACGCCCCGGCTCCGTCCCCATGCTACCATTTAATCGCTCCATATGCGATTAGAGTCTGAGGCTACCACGGCACGTCAAACGCCGAGGTTTGAAGGGCTGCTGACTGACACCCCAATTCAGTCCACGCAGTCCCCTCAGTTGTGTGCGTGCACGTGTGGATTGACGGACTGGTGGACCGAAACAGCTCCTTCTAAACGTGACCTACGGCACTCTCACGCGTGTGAGATGTACGCTGCTGAACTCCCGTTGTGTGGAGTCCTGGTGTTGTGTTTGGGGGCCTGGTCGAGCATGTGGCGCGCGTAGACAAAGTCGCTAAATATGTCGGCCACTGCGCCCAATCCCCGCACCTGTTTACTGACTGGGTCGGACAGTGACTGAGGCCTGCGAATGGGAAGTGATAGTGGGGTCGATGACTCAGCGCATTTTCCTCACTATAAACAATCTGACGGGCTTGAAGCTATCACGGTACGCTAAAAGCCGTGGCTTGAAAGGCTACCAACTGACTGGATAACTTGGACCTCGCAGTCGGCCCAGTGT